CGGGCAGGGCTGTCTCGCTGCTGGTGTGCGGGAGCTCGGGGCCGGAGATGCCTCGCTCCATAGGCGGTGGAGCTGTGAGGAGGTGTGGGCCCGCAGGTATCGCCTCCGGCAGAGTCGGCGGGAGCCGGGCTCGGTGGAGCTCGCATAAAGCTCTCTCGGGGGTGGGACAGCCCTTGGCGGGGTTTGCTCTGGCCGCGGGGTGTCAGGCGGGTCCCTGCATGGCCCGGGGGGTGCCCGCCGAGCCCCCGAGCGCTGGGCCGGGAGCTGCCCCCTGACCTGGGCGCTCGGAGCAAGAGCCCGGCCCCGCGGTGCCCAGCAGGGAACGATGTGCGGTTTTAGCCATGCTTCGTTCAGCCAGCAGAGTCGTGGCTTTTTCCGTGCTAGGTACGGTACCCTGCGATAGAGCTTCCCTCCGGTTTAGACAGGAGAAAGGCTGTGTGGCCATCAGCAATCACCTATGGCCCCATTAGCATCCTGAAGTGTTTTCTGACCTAATTGCTAGGGCGATGTGAAATGGTAAACAGCAGTTGCTTTCTGAAAGCAGCTAGAGCTTTGAATGATACAATCTACATTACAGAAGCTTTATGTTGTAAACATGTGAATCACGATAGGTTTGTTCTGCAAATTAATGGGGATATGTCATATTACGCTTCTGTTTCATCTCCTGCTTTGACCCCATGGCGAGCAAAAGTTCAGTTTATTTAGCTCTTTCCGAGTATTAACAGACCTTTTTCTAGGTAAGAAAGGTGCTTCAGGCATTCAGTCTTGGGAGCAGCTGGGCAAGGATATGTTTGAAAAATGAATTAAGGTTTAGATAGATATTTTTAAAGAGGAAAAGTGTATTTGAGCCTATTGGTACTATAATGATGAGAGAACAGATTCATGGTTTTGAGACCCATCTTACAGAATATCACATGCTGGGGTTGATTTTAATACCTCTGAGAGCCAGCCCTAGGTATGGAATGCTTTTCATTCTTTGGAGTGTTCATTCCAGGCAGTTCTGTGTAATGGGATTTTTACAGAGCATGGAAGATGCCTCTAGGGGAAACCTCCATTTTGATTGCTGTGCCTAACTCGACTAATTCTGCTGCTCCTGAGTTGGCTGTCAGGTTTTTAAGATGCTGAAATGTGTGTTTTCAAGATTCCTGTGTGGGCTGTTTTTTTTTACTAAGAATCTGGAAAACAACTTGGCTTTTCGTGGGGTTTGTTGCTAAATGGCTTTGACTGTAGGAAACGCACATCGATGCGAAGATGAAGCATGCAATTAAAGTTCTATTTCTTAATAATTTGAGAAGATATAAATATGTGTCAAATGAAATGCTTTAGTCAAGGAACCAAAGCAGTTGAATGAATGGCCCATAAATTTCTTTTGGCATGAAGTGTGTGTTTGTGAGTGAAATGTTTATTTCTTCTAAGGAAAAGGTAATAAGAGTGTCTAAATGAAGGTATGATATATATAATGCACTGGTGTACAATCCATTGATTAGAGTGACATTTCAACACTCAATTTATTTACTTAGAGAACTCCACTTATGTTTTGATGCCCAGATGGATTAATTAAATATTTAATTAATTGTAGTGGTAGAGAATACAGGGTGTAAAACAGAGGTGACTGTTGAGCTTAATATTTCACTATGTTGTAGAGAAACTCGGGAATCTAGAATATTCTCAGTAAGTAAATGCTAGTTTGCCATGCAATACTATGGTATTTTCAGGCAGCTAATCTCAAGAAAATTTGATCTGGAAGACCATCAGACTTGTTTCAATCAAAATATCAGAGACTTGTCTACAAATAAAAACACAAGGAGCATCCTTTTTTGTATTCAGCAAAGAGTTGGAGTATGTGTGCTGTTAAGGAAGTTTATTTTTATGCAGGTATTAGTCCAATGAATTTTATAAGCATGAACAAGATTGTAAGTGCCCTGAAACACAATGTTTCATCTTGGACTGGCAATTATACACATAGATTCAGTTTTGGTTTTTTTTAAATTTAAAAGAAAAAAAATTACTCTGGAGTAATTTGCTCTCAGTGATGAGAGAAATCTGTAAGAGAAATATCTAAAGCAATTTCTGAGCAGTGGGAGTAGCTTTATTTTTTATAACATGCTTAGTACCTGTAACCAAGGTTGGTAGAGTGACAGTCCTGCCAGCTGTAAGGAGCTGCATGTAACTGTGGCATGGTCTTCATCAGAACCCTAGGGACCTGGACATTTCTTTGAGATGTGCTTTTAGGAAGGCCCAGGACATCTTGTGATGTGGCATCTTCCTTCATGCTCTATTTCTGCATGTGAAGTTTTCCAGTGCTTTTAGACATCCTTTCTCTTCTGTTTTTTCAGACAGTTATCCAGACCTGTTAAAACTGCCTCTCTTGACAGATACTCTCTTTAGCCTCAGCTTTATCCAAGATACAATATGGTTATTACATAACCTAATATTTTTCATTTTGTTACTTGCATAGCAGAATAACTGCAGAATTCTGCTTGATTCAGTTTAAGCTGAAAACTTGAAAAACTGCTATTTTTAAATGCCTGATATTTTTCTTGCATGCTTGAGCTTAGGTGTTATGTTTGTTTATTTCAGGACTACCTTTGAATCACAGTCCAGAAAGAAGAAACAATCCAGTTGGTTTTAGTTGAATTTTTGTCTCTAAGAACAAAGCCATGCCAGTGCTTTCGGAGGACTCAGGTAACTCAAATGAATGCTTTCAACAGAGCAGTGACTGAAATCTAATCATAGGTGTTTCACACATAAAATTAATTCAAATTGGAGTAAAATGTAATAGAATTTAAATCACTCAACTGGAGTTTTTTAGCAATTACCTACAAGAAGGAAGGTGGAGTGTAAAAGGTGAACATTAATAAAGTTTGTGAGGAAACAGTTTCCTAAGAACCCTAGAGCACCTGAATCTATTTGGATAGACCTGAATCTATTCTGATAGGCTCCTGTAGGCAAAGTTGGACCTCTCAATATTAAAGATCAGCCCATATACATTTTCTGCTTGCTGTGTCATTTCTTAATATTTTCTGAACAGGGGTTTGTAAGGTTTATTAATCCTTTTAACTTAAAATAAGTGACTTTGTTCAAGGCAGCTTTGCCAGCTTCCCCAGTATGCTGCCCAGGGGAAAGTCAGAGATATTAAATGATACTTAGGGTTAAAGTAGGAGTGAGTTTGAGCCTTCTGGATCAAAATCCACTCTAAGGTTAATAGAGAGAATAGCCACAGGAATAGATTTAAAAACCCCTCCCTCCCTTTTTTTTTCTTTTTTCTTTTCATATTTTGTTTTGGTCTTGTCTTCCCAGATATTGTTCACTAGGAGAAATCTGGTATTTTTCTGGCTCTGTGTACTGCAAGATTTGGATATTGGTGATTTAAATACTTTTTAGAAAACTAGCCACAGGCCTTGATTCCACCACAATGGAAATCTACACCTGTCCTTTCTTCCTCTGGTCAGACCTGGCTTCTTACAGGTGCCTCAGAGGCAGAAGGGGCAGGATGACACTTGTGAGCAAAGTTACAGGGGAAGTAGAGCTGCTACCTGTGCAACAAAGAAGATTGTTCAGTCATTTTGAGAGTCTGCTGTGGCACTAAAAATTCAATTTGTAAGAGGGAAACAAAGGGTTCTGGAAACAAAGTGTAATAAACATGAAGTGGGAAACATGAAAGATTTTTTTTTTTTAAATATATATTGCTTTGTTAGCTTTTGCCTTAATATGACGCTGTGTTTGCCACTTATGGAATGTTGCAAAGTTTATAAATAAACACAAGATAAACACAAGATCAACACCAGTCTCTGCAAACTTGGTGATCACCAATGTGGTGCCCAAGTAACTGTAGTGGCTGTTAAGTCTGCAGTAGGTCCTGTGAGAAATGCTGTGTGCAATATTTTTGTTCTGTCCTGAATCTAAATTTAGGATTGCATGAAACTTTGGCCCTTTTGACATCTCAGCTAAGACCTGATTCAAATCACAAAGAGGAAATGGGATTCCTTAGGGATGTCTTCAGTGAAAGGAGTCTCAGCTACCTCATGAAGGTAAAAGTTCATATTTATTTATGTGCATTCTCCTTACAATTTACTTTTTCTCTGTTCCCTTGATTTATCAACCATTTGCTTTGCCAAACTTTTTTAAAGAATTCTGTACCAACCAAAGCATATGTGTGTTTAAGAACAAACAATAATTTTGGACAATTAGCATATTTTGTTCAGAAATATTTTTTTCTGCTCTTCTTGCAAAAATGAGGATACAGTAGCCTTGTAGCTAAAAAGTAGTATGAAATGGCTGCATTTTTTCCATTATGCTCCTAAAGTCTTTACAGATTTTCTGACTGTCTGAAACTACCATGAGCAAAAAGAAAGCTAAAAGACTCATAAACAAAACAAAAATAACCCTAATAGAGAATATTTTTCTCAGATAAATTACATGCCTTAAATAGAAAAGTATTTCAATGTAGGTATATTTAGAAAGTTTTGTGTCTCTCTGTAGAAATATCCCTGAATAATCTTTTTTCAGATTCATGAAAAACTGCGTCATTATGAAAGACAGAGTCCAACTCCTGTTTTACATAGTGCAGCAGGATTAGTTGAAGATGTGAGTAAAAATTTCTTGTCTTGTAATTTTCCTATTATTTAAGCCTGCTTTTCTAACAAATCAAAGCTTTGCAATTGTACTGTATGTGAACATACTTCTCATCTTCCCCAACTGTCTTTGTAATCTGTTTGCCATGATTAATCAGGGAAATGAGAGCTCAAAAATACCGAGTCATTGAATGTCTAGTGAAGATAGACACATTCAGGTGTGTGGAAAGGATATTATTAATGACCTTCCTAAGGGAGAGGCTGCAAAAAGCATTCAGACCTGTCTTGGCAATAGGCTATCCCAGCTGTGCATTCAATCTTGTATTCAGACTTAAAAGCATTACAACCCAGGCAGCATTGCTGTTGACACAGAGTGGTTTGGGTCAGAGGGACCTTGAAAAGTGATCTGAGGCAGGCTCACTTTTCCCTAGATCAGATTGCTCATAGCCCTCTTTATCCTGATTTTTGAGCATTCTCAATGGTGGAGCATCCCAAACTTCTCTTGGCTGCTTTGTTTCCAGCAGCTGTTTCCAGCATTTCATCATGCAGATGTTCTAGCATGATGAACCTTCTTCATAAAAAAAATTATTCCTTATATCCTATCTAAATCTGCTCTTTTTCAGTTTAAAACTGCTGGCCCGTGTCCTGTCACTGCAGGCTTTGGTAAAGAGCTTTTCTGTCTATTGTAAGCCTCCTTTATGTGCTGAATGACAGCAGTAAAATCTCTCCCAGGCCCTCTCTTCTCCAAGCTGAACAATCCCAACTGCTTCATCCTGTCCTAGGAGAGGTGTTCAGCCCTCTGAACATTTTCATGATCCTCTTGTGGATGCACTAGAACAGGTCTGGGGCCTCTGGAGCTGTGCTCACTGTGCTCTCGGTGATGGGGTCATCTCCCCTGACCTGCTGGCCCTGCTTCTCTTTGTGAGGTGTGAGATACAGTTGACTTTTGACTGCAAGCACACGTTGCCATCATGTATCTGATGTTTCATCTACCAGGATCCTCAGGTCTTTCTCCTGAGAGCTGCTCTCAATCAGTTCATCCCCCAGTCTGTTCACAGAGCAGAGTTGTGTCTTAGATTTGTGACACGATGCCATGTGTCTGTGAAGTGAAATTTACTCTGCATTTGCTGGCTCTTTACATGCACCTACCATAGTGTAGGAAGGGGCAGAGGAAGGTTTGGGAGCTGGAATATCTCCCTTTTCCAAGTCAGGAGACCCCAGTGTCTCACCTTAACATGCAGAACATCCCCTCTCCCTGTTCCCACACGCAGTGTACCACCTCCACAAAAGTTTCAGCATTGCTACCTGTCAAGTCAAATAAAATTTCCATCTTCAGAATAGCAGAGAAGCTTTTTATAGAACTATATGACTTGCCTGTTTAGAACTCTTAACAGGTAAGGAAATCTCTTTTGCCTTATCCCATTTTCCCTTCCTTCTCTCTCCCCTGCTTTCTCTCTACTCCCACCCACTCTGCCCAGTGCAGAAGTGCCTCCATTATTTCTCTAATCTTTTGTTTAAAATGCTGAGACTCCAGGGCATACTTTGGTATCCAGGTTTTGCAGGGGAACAAGGGAAGTTGTGTTGCACGTTCCGCACAGGTAATACTAGATGATTGCAGGAAGGTTTAAAGTCTTTTATCAAATAGTACAAGCACAAGAGTCTTGTTTCAGGTATCATTTGCCTATTCTATATGGAATTTAAAATTTCAGAACTTGCTCCTGAAATTATATTGATAGAATAACTCTTAAAATGTATGTTTAGGGACTGTGATTCCTAATGTTGTCTTTTGTGCTATCTGATAAAAATAGCTGAAGAAACTTTGGTTTCTTTCAGGCTTTGTGTACTATGGGCTGGGGTCAGTTTTGATTTGTGCACACTACTTTGATGGATGATAGATGTTAGCAAACACTCAACAGAAATGTAAATACGTGATCTTGTTTGGTGGACTCCTTTAATTTTGAGGTTGTAAATTTTTATTTTAAAGGTAATAGAAGAGTTGCAGACAGCACCAGTGAATAATGAAGAAAAAGAGCTGCTTCAGCTGCTGTCAACACCACATCTCAGGGTAAAAACCACATTGGGGACTTTAATGAGACGCCTTTGCAGAATTGTAATAGAACATTTTGTAACAGAAAAGTTACATAGAAGCCTCCTTAGGAGAAAGGAAAAGCCTTCTGCAAACTTCAGTTCCAAAGGGATTTCCTGCACAGACCTTAGGAAGTGAAGGAAATTGAAAAGAGACAGCTTTCCTGCATAATGCACCATGCTGTCTTCCATTCCTCCCTTCCTTACTGTTTTCGGGACCAGAAAAGGAGACTTGCTTTCCATAGTCCCCTTAAGGTTTTTTTGGCTGAGCTTTGTTCTTGCCTGTATTTATTTTAAATATTGCCATATACCAGTATGAATTTTATGTATATGTATATATACCAGTATGTAGTTTATATGATGGGTAAGGTGAGTGCTAAATCTTTTTTGGAGGATTTGTGGTGAGGGCAGAAAGGAGGAGGTTTAATTTTTCTATAATACTGGAATCATGAGAATGGGAATTGTAGTATTACTCCATTACATAACTGTCTTTTATTTCCTTTATGCAGGCAATGCTTGTAGTACATGACACTGTAGCACAGAAGAACTTTGACCCAGCTCTTCCACCTCTACCTGATAATTTTGATGATGATGATTTTGATGAGGAATCAGTGAAAATTGTTCGGCTAGTGAAAAATAAAGAACCCCTGGTACATATTAGATCACCCATCTCTACTCATAAAACTTTATAGTGGAAGAGTGTTATTGTGAGTATGGAGGAGATACCTGAAGATATCATCAAGTGGGCTTCAGAAACTTGGAGTGTACTGAAGCTTGTAAAGTAACAAAAATAATTTGGTAAATGATAAATGCACCTTCACAATTTTGCATTTAGGTGCTTTATGGGCTTAGTTTACAATCCCAGTTAGCACAGGAAACACAGTGAAGAAACTGTATGTTGAAGCAGTTATACTGATTATATGTATTAATTCTTTTCATACATTCAATGACTTAATGTATTCACTTGCATGAAGTCAGTGATGTATGGTGAGAGTATATCTGATACCTGTATATAGGCATTATATTGTTAGGGTCCTAATTTTATACAAATGGAAATGGAAGAACAGATTTCCTAAGGAAAAACAGTTGTATTGGGAAAGAAATCTGCTTTTTGTGTATCACTGTAGTAGAAGGGAGCAGTGACTGAATTCCTGATTAAAGCTTTGTGCCAGCAGAGGTAGGAGGAGGGAAAAAAATCTAATTACTTGGCTTTTGTTGGTTTTACATATAAAAATGCTGTCTGTTTTATATAAAGATTCAGAAAAGAAGGAGAAAGAATTTGTTACAATAAGCTCTTTTGCACGCTTGAGTGACTTTGATGACCACAATAATGCAGGAAGTGTAAGAACTTAGAAAAGTCAGCAGAAAGGAAGGTGGGTGCACCTTCCCATAATCACTTGGTATGAGCAAAACTTCATTAATGGTGGAAATCGTCAAGGAAAAAGAGGAAATCTGTAGAACAAATTAATTCCAGTTTAAAAGACATAATAGCATAAACATTATTTCACTGGTTGCTGAATTCAGGGCAAATTTCTTACATTTTTTTGGGGTGGGGGGTATGTTTTATTTCAGGGAGCTACCATTAGAAGAGATGAACATACAGGGGCTGTGATTGTAGCAAGGATCATGAGAGGTGGTGCAGCTGATCGCAGTGGTATGATTGCAGTAGTACATTTCTGAAGTTGCATTTGTAAACCTCTGAAATTTCCTAAGCATGCTCTTAGCATTTCTGTATTTCATCAGTGATCTGTTAATCTAATTACATATGTTTTTTATTAAAATGACCATTAGGAAAAAATGAAAACAGAGATGGAAGAAGTATATTTGAGCTTTGGAGGAAAGCAAAGAATGTTTTTTACCTTTAATCTAATAGCTTGGTTTATTCAGTGTATCATGTGTTGTTTTCTGTTTGCTTTACTGAGAAATTATTTAATGTCAGTTAACAGTAGCTATATATATGACAAGTACAGCATTTCTTATTGAACTGAACAAACAAACATAAATCTTGTAGAACCTCTTCATGGCTTGTTAAAAAAAAAAAAAAATTAGTCTATCATTCTTTCTGTGAGTGTGAAGTATTGATCTGTCAGTTGACAGACATGTCATTCCTGCCCTTACAGTCAGCAGCATGTCTCCTGACTTCATAAGATTTGGTCATACTCATGAAATTATTCCAGTTTTGCATACTTAATACTGATCCAAATAGTGATTTTCCAGAGTACCTTGCCACAAGTTGCCAGTCTGCATGCTGCTCTCCTTTGAGACTGCACTGCACGGGAAAAAAGTGCCAGAAGGAATAAAGGCTGTGAGGCACATTTCCAACTAAGGCACTTGGCTTTGGTACTAAATCCATCAGTCTGGATGAGGGAGGAGAGGAAGTACCTGCTAATGACTTAGGCTGGACATCAGTGGAGAAGTGCTTTCCAGTCTCTAGACCTATTTTAATTTACTTACCATCTTTCCAGGTCTTGTCCATGTTGGAGATGAACTAAGAGAAGTCAATGGTATTACTGTGCTTCACAAACGACCAGAAGAAATAAGTCAGATTTTGGTCTGCACTGATTTTCATTTCAAGATCTTTTCTGTTTGGTGATCTAGTAATTACAGTAGATGATGAAATTTAACCATGAGTTTAAAATCTAGATGCAATCCCTGCTTGTCTTTGCATTAAGAGTTTTTCTTCTCCCAGTGGATTAGTCTTCTCCTTTTGACTTCAGAAACTTCTGCGAACTGGATTGGTACCAAGTAAGATACAAATACAAAGTTAACATGTTGCTCTGTCAAGAACTTCCCTTTAATGCTTTGTTTATGACAAGCAAACTGCAAATTATAAATACATTCCTAGAAGATGATTCATAATGTGGTATGTTAGGAAGCTGAAGAGAGTCTTGTCCATGTGTTCAGTAGAGCTGTCAGTCTGTTCTTTACCAGCAGCTTCCTGGTGACATGAGCAGCTCCTTGCTTCAAGCTTCTCTAACATGAATATCCACAAATCTTGGTAGAAAGTGTTGTGGCTTTTAAGCTTCTTTATCTCTGACTTCCCTCTTGTGGGACGGAGACTGCCATCAATTCCATCACCTAATTTCAGTTTAGATCAAATAATTCCAAGTAATGCCAATGACTGCTTTTAACATGGCGGGGGGGGCAAGGGTGTCAAAACCAGTTTGAAATAGTGTGTAAAGTTTTATCTGTGGGGATATTGAGATGCTATTTATCTGTCCTGTGTAATTTCTAATTACATATGTCCCATGTGAGCTAATGCCTGAAGTGTAACACTTTCCTTTTTGTGGTTTATTTCTTGAAGAAAAGCTACAAATGTTTGTCTGTGTTTGCTTTTTCATCCATGCAGAATTGCAGGCTTCTCTACAACACAGTTCATCTCATGCAAAATAAGGCATCTAAAACATAAGATAAACCCATTCTAGATTTCTGAAGGACCTAGAAGTGCTTTTTAATTTACTGTAACTAATAATTGTCATTTTCTAGCAAAGATTTCTAGAGTGAAAGTAGGTGTTTATTTTGTAGATTCTTACATTTCACTAACAAGTTAGCCACTCTATGGAGTAATCATTTTTCAGTGCAGCACTTTAAAATCATTAGCCTGCAAAAATTTAAGTCAGTGTTGTACTAAAAGCCACAGAAGTATTTACTGTCCTGTGAACTGTAGCATAGGAATTAATGCAATTGCTAAAAGCAAACAAAGGAATTTTAATGCAGGTCTTAATATGTTTTAGCCAAGTAGCTGCTGTGGATGTCTCCATGGGCAAAACACTGTTGTAGAGTCATGGAACATCCTGATATTCTCTGTAATGCAGTTAAATAGTGGATTAGCTTGGCCTATTAGAGTTCTGAGAAGGAGACAGCTACTAGCCCCTTAACTTGAATAGTCTGCATTGTATCCTTGTCCTTCTTTCAAAGTAAAAAACCATTTTTGTTTTTCTCAGGCTCAGTCTCGAGGGTCAATAACATTAAAGATAATTCCAGCCATCAAAGAAGAAGATCGTCTGAAAGACAGCAAGGTATGCAGCTGAAATAGAGGCACATCTTTACATCCCTGTAAATGCAGCATTCCTGCTGCTCCAGTGGAAGTGCCACAGACACATAATTGAGCTACAAAGAGGAGAGTGGTTTCTTGTGCAGTACCCTTCTCTTCAGCAGAATTACTTGCATGACTCTTCTGCTCTCCATCTTGGCACATGTTCTTTTATAACATTTCTGAAATCCTGCCTCTTCTTTTTTCACTTGTGTAATTAAATTTAGTGTTCTGCTGTCTCCTCTCACCATGGCAGCTGCAATCTGTCCATTATCTCTGGGCATTTTGCCACTCACTTGAGTGAAAATGGACCTCTCTACAAACAGAGCTGCATTCACCATGTGATGCCATCAGCCCACTTCATCTGCCCTACCTGATCAGCAGTAACTTAGTGCTGGACTGGTCCCTCATAGGATTCCTCTGGATTCTCTGCTTCCCTGCTTTTGCTTGCTGAACTTTTCCTTGAAGCTCACAAATCACTTTCTGAAGTGGTTCTGCTGTTATGTGTTAAATAGTGTTAATATACAAATCCAAAGTTGAATAGTAGATCTTGATGCATTCAAGGAACATTTTAAGGACAGTCTTTACAACTAGGCAACTTTGCCATAAATCCATTTTTATTGTTTTCTTGCTCCTAATTTTTTTTCCAACCATTCCTGTATTGGTTTTTGTATTTAATATAGATTGTGATCTGTGTTTCTTGGAACTTTGGTCTTTTGAGTCTCATGTTCCACAATTATGATATATAATTACTGGGTATGTGCTGGGAAGTTAATTTAGTTTTCTGCATAAGCTGCTAGGTGTCTGGATTTTTAAAGTGCTTGAAGGAGGGATAAAGTGTATGTATAGTTAGCAGTGTTAGCACTGGGGAAAGCCTTTCAAGGGCAGATATTTGAAATTCCAGACAGGACAAGAAGAAATGACACATTAACTTTCTTTTAAAGGTGTTTATGAGGGCTCTTTTCTGCTACAACCCCAAAGAAGACAAAGCCATTCCTTGCCAGGAGGCTGGGCTGCCATTCAAAAGACGACACGTGCTGGAAGTTGTAAGTCAAGATGATCCCACGTGGTGGCAAGCCAAGCGTGTTGGGGATACCAACCTCAGAGCAGGCTTGATCCCCTCAAAACAGTTTCAAGAAAGGTTTGTCAGCAAAGATTACAGAAAATGTTTGTCTTCCACATGTATATAGTGTCACTATATTGATATATTGATTTTGTGCTGGGGTTTTTCCACAGAAAATAAAGGGCATGGTCATGCCAAGGTAAATACAGCTGCTCAGGGGAAAGTGCTAAAAAGCTTCACCTTCTCCAATGATATAATAAACTTTTTAGTTTGATTTGGGTGTTTTGCCATTTTCTTAAAGCTTTGTAACACAAGGACAGACACACTTGCTAAACAAATATGTATGAAATGAAATGCAGAATATCAGTCTCTTAACCATCTTGGCTTATGGAGACACTGTATTTCACAGGCTTGTACTTCCACAGGATTTACTGTAATTATTTTGAATTTATGCACATAATACCTGATCTTTCTTTTGGCTCCTAAGAGAGTATTTACTTTGGACTGAGATACCTTCTAGAGCTTGAAGATTCTGTGTTTTCACAGAAAGATATGTGTAGCTTCTAAAGCAAAATATCCCTCAGTTGTTGTCTTTACAGTACAGAAGTCCTATATTTGAGAAGGAATCTGTTTTAAGCTACTGATCTCACTTTGTGATTCTTACTGCAAATCACTATAAATGTCTTCTTTGGATTGTAGGTGTTACAGAGGGGGTACCTAACACTTGAACAGGGCTGATGCTGTTGCTGGCCTGCATGATTTCCATAAGGTTTCTAATTGAGGTCTTGGCTCCACTGCATGAAAGCTCCTTTGAAACATTAGGCAAATTCTGCCTCAGCAGCAGTTTCCTTCTTCCTGGTCATGCATATATGTCAAAAAATGCTGCTGCAGTGCTGCACTGCAGTCTTTTCCATTTTTGAGACGTTGTAAACATGTAAAAAGATGTACATGTAAACATGTGAAAGGCAGGAATATAGAAATTGTTTCAGTGTCTTTCCCCTGAGTGCCTGTGTAAATGCCTGAGCAGCATCTTATGTCTGTTATAAATATTGCAAAAAAAAAACCACTTGGAAAGAAATTGTGGCTTCAATTGCCAACAGCAAGGGGTTTCTTGAGGGTTTGATTTTTGTGCTGGATTGTTGGGGTGGTTTTGGTGTTGGGTTTTTGGTGGGAGGTGTTGAGCAAATAGGAATTGTGATCTGGTTTGTGATTTTAACACTTAAGAAAATTTCACATGATACTCTGTTCTTACATTACCACACAAGTTGGGTGGCTTGGTTTGTTTACTAGTAAATAACAGAGAACTTCAAACTGATCTGGAAGAAGGTGGGTGATTTCTATGTGTGCATAGCTGCAGTGAGTGCTTTGGACAAAGGTTAACTGGTTTTCTTAATGTTGCAAAGGAAGATCATGTGGACAAAAGGGAAATAGAAAAAAACTGTATTGATTAACCTATTGATTTCTGTGCTCTGGTATATGAAAGCATAAAATGTTTTAGAATCTTCATTCCCTTACCAGTAACAACCTAAGTCATACTTTTAAATAGTTGATTCAGAGACATTTTAAATTTTTTAAGAAAAAGCATGGTTTCATTCTTTATTTTCTATGCTATGTGTATAACATGCTATAAATTCTCTATGATTTTGAGTTTACATATCTAAAATACAATTATTTTCTATTCAGGCGACTGACTTACAGGAGAACAGCAGGCACTCTGCAGAATGCCAGAACTCTGAAGAAACCATTATGTAAGTCTGTTCTGTTCTTTCAATGATGTTTTAATTGATACTAAGGTCTCAGTATTTTTCTGTTATTTCAATAATGATGTGTTTGAGTGTATTTCACCACTGATAGATAATTGGAATACAATCTGCCATTGGTTGATATGCATGGACACAAGCTGCCACGGGGGAGGATTTGGGTTTGAGCTTTATCCAGTGTTGCTAGTGCTTGTTGTTTTAAAAAATCATAGCTATCCCTCTCTTCCTGCTCTCAAGAACATGAGGCCTTTCATATTCTGATGCCTTAAAATTTGCTAGTGTTCACACTTTTTCTGTAGTTTGGAACTTGGAAGCTGCAAAAATAACCCAATGCATACTTCTCAAAATTCTTATATGAGTGCGTGAAGCTACTCTAAACTCATGAAAATAAAGTGTAGCTTTAAGGAGGATAAAAATCACTGGAGCTGGAAATACAATCCGTATTTCAGGCTTAATGTTAGAGAGCTGGTATTAAGTCGACTTGAGAGTGATTGTTGTTTACAGCTCTGAAGTCTCTGTCACTGAATTATTCACAAAACATCTGCTTGTTAAGGGATTGTTAGTAAGTGCTGGAAAACTGAAGATGTTGTGATTACCCCAAAATGTGTTTCTGTTGCTCTTGGGTGCTTCAGCACAGGCACTGTTGGTGTGGGGGGAAGCCTGTGTGCAGCCAGGATTGTGCCACCCTCATGTAGACAAGGATCATGGAAATGGTCCCTTTTGAGTATTAGAAGTGAATTTCTGCCTTTGGTGCATGATGAGATACAGATATTCTCATGCTACAAGGAGGGAGGATGCTCAATCAAGTTATAAAATAGCATTACTGATTTAAATGAAGCTTTTCCAAATTAGTTTCCATTACATTCATATTAGGAGATGTGTAATGAGGAGTGCTGCTTAAGCTTTATCTCAGATGTTTTCAAAACAATTAAGCTGATAACTGGTTTTAATAACTACATTTCAGCCCAGAATTCTTTCATTCTTCAGTTGATAAGGAGGGTATTGTATTGCAGTACTTCTTTTAAGATAGGAAAGCCTGTTAAGCAAATTAAATCAAAAGAACCTTCCTTTCCATTTGCTCTAATTTTGCTCAATTATTTGTCCATCTGTTAATATCATCCCAACTCTGCCTTTCATGCTAACTATAGATGATCAGTCTTCTGACAAAGGTAGGTGCTCTCCTAACTCACTTTCTGTCTGAATATGAACAGCCAATGTATTTTCTAATACTGCTATGATTCCAAAGGGAACAATAGATATATTGTTCCTGGGAGTTTTTCTTTGTGAATTATTATTTAAATCAATATAATTCAGATTGATGACTTAAATAATGGTAACTTCCAAATTTCCTTCCAATTCAAGAGAAAAGATTTATATTCTGAGATGTGTTTACATGTTCTGTATGTTTCTGAGTGAGGTTCAAAGACTTGCAAGTTAAATGCAGTCTTTGTATCTGGTATGTTTAAAAAATAAAGAAATATTGGGTTTTAACATTTTAGGGCACCATTTCAGTCCTAAGTGATTTGTCTTCATTGTTCATTTGGACTGTTTTCTGTGTTACTTTAATTATGAGCAACTCTCTTGGGCTTATGCAGTTTTTGTCATGTGCAAGCTGCCTTTCCAAATATCAGGTATTCCCTGTTGAATTCTATATGCTGTGATTTTTTGTTTTCCACATTACAGTTGCTTGTTGATATTCATATTCCAAGCATTAATATACCATCAACTTTGATGAAAGTAATAATCATATTCTGTAATTAGAGTATAGCATTCATGGCCAGCTGTCAAAGTCTGAAAGAGCCTGCCTTGAGCAGCAGAAATAAACAAACAGAACAGCTCTGATCTTAGCTGTGGATTGATGTTTCTATTTTTTCAAAATGTAGACAGATTGTTTTGGGAGTACACATTGGCATTGCATGATTACACACCTGCATGCAACTATTCATTAAAAACAAAGCCCTCTCTTGACTGGCACCTTTGGTGAAAGGTATAAATGCTATATATTTTTGCTTATGATTTGGTTTATCCCATACACCACCACCTCAAAATGAGTAGAGTTCTGTAAATATTGCAAGGGCACAGGTGCCTAAAAGTTAACAAACTAGGCATCCCTCTTTCAGGAAGTATGAGAACTCAGTATTTTTCTTAGGATTGCAGTGTATTTTTTTGCAGATAAGTATCATGGTTTTATTATGCACACTTTTATGGGCCTTGGGGGTGGTTCTAATTTGAAGAGGGACAGGTTGGGGGCTTTTAATATCTTATTTTACATACATGCATATAACCAAAGAAATGAAATTGGCAAATCTAAACCACTACAGCATCAGATCTTTATTTTTTTAATAAAGAATTAACAAGCAATGATAATTTACCTTGGTCAAAATGAAGGGGGTTAGAGTTCATCTTTATCATTTCTGATCCCCCTTTTTCAAGCCCACATGATAATGAAATATCAGAAGAGGCAACTTCCTTGCATAATCATACTCATTTATAAAGGTCTTAACTTAAAAAAAGAGCTCTGTGTTCGTGGAGACTTCTTTTTTACTTAAGCCTGAGTATCATACTTTTACCAGCAGCACTAATCAAATGTCATGAATACTGAAAAGCATCAATTCTGGGCACTGTAAATACCAAGATATAAAATCCTCTAGTTCAATATCAAAGTCAAGGATTTTTTCAAATATAAACCACTAGCCAAGGCAAGTATTTTTTTGGTATCAGCAATGATTATGTAAAAAATGGATGTGCAAACAATGCAGGATATAAAATTTCTTTCCTTGCCAATGAGGCAGACTTGTATCACACACATTGTCTAAGATATTTCCTTCCTCCCTCTCACTCTCCTTTCCCTGTGCCCTACCCCCCACTTCCTTGCTTTTTAATTTACAGAGGACTGTGACTGTGAAGGATATTTCAATGGACACTACATAGGTGAGTAACCAAAACACTGCACCTCTTCCCTAGCACACCCACCACAAAAAACCCAGATCCAAAATGAAAACAAAACAACCCCACCAAATAACCCCCCAAAAAAACCCCACCTCCACATTAAAAAATTAAAGCTGGACTATTTAAATTAATTCCCCATACATTCATAAACTGTAATCATAAATAGCTTCTCTTTGAAGAGGCATAATCTGACTTTGGCATAACCAATACTTGGCAGTTAAAGTTGTGTGAGAGGGATTTTAGTATAGATGGGGTGTTAGGTTTCCTGTCCCATATGCAAACATTTCTCCTATAATCTGAGCACATATGCACTGATTTGATCATAAAATTTGTGGGAATAACTCACATTTGAAGACATTAACTTGTAGCTGAACAAGCTGGAACACCTGGATAAGTGGGGACATGTCAACGTATCTTGTGTTTTCTGCACAGCTGGTTTACGCAGGAGCTTCAGGTTAAGTCGTAAAGAGAAGGAAAACAATGTAAATGAAGGCAAGCAAGCAGAGCAGGCAGATGGAGCAGAGCTCCTGACGTATGAAGAAGTCACCAAATATCAGCAGCAGCCTGGTGAGCAGCAGAGGCTGGTGGTTTTGATTGGTAAGATACCCAGTTGGTTCAAAATTTTTCACATTTCTCCCTGTTCCCTTACCCTGCACTTCCAGAGGCTTTTTTTAGGTGTTTGGTTCAGGGGGTTTTGTGGTTCTGGAGTTTTCTTAAAAAAATATTTTTCTGTTTTTTGTCAGAACTGACTCTTTTATTTTAAATTGCATTAAAAAACAAAAGAGGAAAAAAAACAAAACAAGGAATCAAACTCACCAAATCCTTCTAAAAATAGTGATGCAGGACTATTTCTGATTTTTCTGATTCACTTTCCTTTGGTTTTCACTCCAGTGTTTACTTAGGCTGTCAGAACTGTTGATGAAGAGGCAGAGGCTAGAATTATCTAACAAGATTTTGCATGCAATTTTAATTTTAATTATCAGCCTTGTGCTAAGCCAGTTTCTCAGGATGCCCTAAAATTCAAAGGTATCTCCTAGAACCGACTGCTAAGATCACAGATTTTCTGATTCAGTGTCTGCCAGGTGATTGTCCAGCAGTTGTTCAAATAATTAAATTTGTTCCTGATGATGTTCTTCAAAGCAGAATATGGCAGAGCAAGTCATGAGTTCTCTCATGAAGAGGTTTCTGCAAGCACACTCCTGAATCATATTATTTATGTGAAACTGTTCTATTTATTTTCTGCTGTATTTCATTTCACACAGAAATCTATCAGTCAGTTTTATTTTAATAGGTTGTTTGGGGGCCAAATTAAGTGAGCTGAAGCAAAAAGTTGTGTCAGAGAACCCCCAGGAGTATGGTGTTGCAGTTCCACGTGAGTAAAATTTACTGACTTGTGTTTGTTGCATCTTTATTCCATAAATGCTGTCTAATGAATATCATTCCACCTGCACTAATGATAATTTGTGTTCTGACTATTGATTATATGCATATTTTGAAGTACTTCAATTTTTTTTTCTCATTGTAATATGCTGTGTTTATATTTTGTTCATTTGAATTTGCCACTGTGTAACTTTCTTGTTTGAGGTTGTGAAAATGTGACTGTAACTAAGTAGAGAGAACGTTTGCAAAGACTGATACATCTCCCATGTCTTGCTTCCCTTCTCTCTAGACACAACAAGGTCAAGGAAAAGTCATGAGAGAGAGGGAGTAGAATACAATTTTGTTTCTAAGCAATCCTTTGAGACAGATGTGCAGCAAAACAAGTGAGTTAATTTTAAAATACTGGTATAATTTACTATTTAAAAATATTGCTTGTTCACTTTTACATCACATGAATACCAAAATCAGGTGACAAGTTGGACAAGGTATATTAGGAGGATTCATCTTTCTAAGTAAAAACCTCTTTATTGAGTCTGGACTCGTGGAGCAAACTCAAACATTTAGCTGGAAGCAATTAAGGAATAACATTAATTGGAGGATCCTGAGTTAGAATTGAAACCTGCATAAGTCTTAAAATTGGTGAAAGTGACAGATACTTAGTTGGGCCTGCTAACTCTCAGTTTAATATGATGGGTAAATGTTTCATTCCCCAATCTCCTTGAAAGTGTGTGGTAGAGTGAACCTGTGGTTATACCAGACTTTCTATGAGCTCAAGCATGTTTCCTCGAAGTTCAGATCTTTACTAGTCTCCCAAAAGATGGGAGAATTTCAGTCCATTTCCTTGCCAGCTTTGTTCTATTTTCTGTAAAAGATATCCTTTCTCCTTCCCCTTTTTGTCAGTAGTGCTGATGAGCTATTAGTGATACATGAAGAATTGCTACTAAGCAAGGAAGGGAAAAAACCATGGAAAAAATGAAATTCCTACCCACACACCCCTGGTTTTCTGCCCCTCTCCTCCCTCTTTGACTGCTGTGACTTCAGAAAACAGCTATCAACTGTTCTAAGTTAAATATTCTTCAAATTTTTTGTAGCTGGTATTTAAAACTGTATTGACTTTTTAGATTTGTGGAACACGGAGAATACAAGGAAAACTTGTATGGTACAAGTCTGGAAGCAATCCGGTCTGTGATGGCCAAAAAGAAGGTTTGTTTGGTGGATGTGGTACCTGAAGTAAGTTCTGCAGCTTATTTTAAAGAATGCAAATATGATTTACTGCTGCCTGAGCAGAATAGGGCTCTTGGGGAAGCAGTGCAGTGGTTCCAGTTCCTACATGTCCAGCTGGGACAGCCTGGATGTCTCTTCAGGAGTCCTCACTGTGGGACTTTCCCTCGCTGTAGGACTGATGTGCATGCCTGGCCCAGCCTGCTCAAGAGAGAATACTTGGAAAAACGTTGCTTTTTTCATTCTGGTTCTGATTTTAAAAACGCTGGCCATAGCACACCCAAAAGGCTCTCATTTGTAGGATCTCAAAGATACAGTACCAGTTTTTGGGTGCAGATACAGAATAACATCATCAATCACCCCAGGGCAGGAGCATTGCAAGCAGTGCCAATAGACCTGCTCTTCATACTCCATGCCTTGAGTTAATATTTGAAATTTTGATCCAGATTTTGTAACTGAGCTAGGAAAAGACTTGTGGTACTACCTCAGATGAATTCTAAGTTTAAAATTTGCAGTGTTTGGCTGCTTAGGTGAAGCAAACCATAACTTGCCCATGAAGTCAGGTTTTTTTTATACTTTCCTCAGTATTTTTTGCCCCTTGTAATCAGTGCTTTTCAAGCCATGCTCCATGCACTCTGCTGTGCCAGCCAGGACACTGGCAGGAGCCTTTGTTTGAAGAGCAAAAGATTTCTGGGGTCACATGTGTAGGACACAGGACTTCACAGCACAGTGTGTCAGCCTGTACTAGTGAAACTACTGAAACCAGTTTGAGTCTGTCATGTAGCAAAAATAAATCTGATAACAAAAATCTTCTGTTCACAGGCAGTAAAGCATTTGAGGACTCCTGAGTTTAAGCCTTATGTTATCTTTGTGAAGCCTCTCATTTCAGAAAAGAAAAAACATGTAAAATCTCACATGTCAGAAGAAATCTCATCCCCCCTTGTAAGTATTCCAGCTTCTAATCTCTTCTTTTTAGACATGAAAGGAGTATTTGGGCTAGCATTTCTAGTAAATGAAGGATCTCCTCTTTTATAGCAAGAGTTAAAGTGGGGCAATAAGTAGGTCCTGTAGCCTTTCAGATGGAACTTCAGAATGGAATTTTTGATTCCTTGCATACTCAAGTCTTAAAGTCACATGAAGCCGAATGCCAGTCTTCCATATGGATCTGGGTACCTCATCAAGGCTGCAGCCAGGAGAAGCTGCTGCTGAGCTCAGATAAACCAGCAATCATTACATTTCTGATGAGCAGCCCCATCAGATGGTGATGGCAGCTATTTCTTATATCTCCAAAGTGACACCCCCACCAGTGTCAGCCAGCATTTCAGTGGTGTGCACACAAAACCCAGTGTGTGGATGTCTGATGAGGATCAAACCTGGATCAGCTGCAGATTGCTGATGTGTAAATCTGAACAGAGTGCATAAATGTCATTGCTTTGGGTAACCTGAACTCTAAATGTATATGTTACAGAACTTAGTTCACTTGGTAAGTTTTTGTGTAAGCCCTCAAAAATACTGAACTTGGGATAGTGTGTGCAGCATTCCTTTTCAGCTTTTGAGGATATGCTTCCCATATCTTGGGTTAGGCAGCAACTCTAACTACATAAAATGAACTATAACCATTTTTTGTCCCTTCTGTAACATATTTTCCCCCCTTCCCTGAGGCCTCTTGCATTTTTTGGAACAGCTGCCAGTAGCATAATGCTCCGTGATCTCAGTTTTAATATCTTCAATACCTTTTCCTAATGGTAGCAGCTTTTGTTACATGTTCTCAGAGTGATGACTCATTGTGCTAAGATACTTTAAAATGCTAGCAACCAGAAGGACATGCTGTAAATTTCACACCAACATGTTGTGTTGATCAGCAGGATGAAGAACAGCAAGAAATTATTAATTCAGCAGCATTCATTGAAGAGCACTATGGCCATTTAATTGACACTGTACTGGTGAAAGAAGATCTCCAGAGTGCTTGTAACGAGCTGAAAACTGTTTTAGATAAACTAAACAAGGATTCATTTTGGGTGCCAGTCAGCTGGGTTAGGTCATAGCTTGTTACCATGTTTAAGGGAAAGACTGTATAAAAATGCTTTGTAAATACATGAATTAGAAAAGGGAAGTATGTTGAATTTGCTTCAGAACTGCTGGTGTTACCTAGAAGGCAATAAATAAAGACTGTATGAGGAAAGACTAAACAAAGTCACAAGCTGACACTGCCTTTTTGAGTCAGAATTTTGAATAGCAGCTGTCATTTAGAAGTCAATACTCAGGCTAAATAAGCCAGTCCAGTCTTCTACTGATCTTTAGACTGGAAATAGTGCATTTTGTTAGACTGATGTTTCACAGAGGCTCCCACACACCCAAAGTATTTTGTGCTGGGACACTGACAAGATGGAAGCTTTGACCTTTGGCCACAATTCTAGCCACAAATTTTGTGACTGGAGTTAAAACCTCAGAGTACCTGTTGGGAACAAGCTCCTTTAGCTGGGTGGGAAATGTTCTTTGGAGAGTGGTAACACCATGCCAACTACTCAGAAGTTCAGCTGGCTGGCTGGCCAGCAAAACATGCTGCCCTTCACACAGAAGCATTAATTGCAAATCCTTCCCAGTTTGGCACTAAGAACTAGGTCAGCTGTAGAAGGGGTTTTTTTATGTCCATCACATTTCCCAGTACTCCAAGTTGTCTTGCACAGGTCACAGGTGTGAGTCTGCTCATCCACAGCTTATGCCCACTTTCCCAGTCACAAAAACAACCTGTGAGTGTACCTGTATGACTGGCCAGCTCATAAAACAGAGATTTTTATAGTGTATGTGAAAACAACTGCATATGGTTCTAAAATAGGAGTTTAGAAGCTTTGTTTCTGCAAACATCTTTGCCTGTGCTAGCTGGTGGGGACACAGCCTTGACACCAATGGAACAGCTCCAAAAAGGGCACTAAAAGGAGGAGCTGCAGCTCAAAATCATCATCTTTCCAGCATTTATGGCTTCTGTTCCAAATCTGGTAAAGGTTTGCAGAGCATCTAATTGGCCTGAAGAAGAAAACTGTTAGACGACCTTGTATATATTTGAGGAGACTTGAATATACAATATTTTTGAGTGGGTCTTAGGAAGATGTAGAGCTGATTCTGGAAGTAGCTGTGCTTTAGACTTGGGGGATTTAAGGGGAGAGCATTGTACAGGTGCATGTTAGCTGTAACTAGAATTCCTGTTTTCACTTGCCTGCTGAGGTCTGATGTTTCCTGTGTATTGTGCCCTTTAAACAAGACCTTTTGGTGTACCAGTCTTGTTCCTCATATCTAACAGTAAAATGTTATTCTTGTTCCATGACATTTAGCAGAACTAAAAGTTGCATATTAAAAGCACATTTCTTACATACCAGTGTCACTGAATCTACATTATGTCAAGCCTAAAACGTTGTGTAGAAGAGTCACCCTCATCCATCTTCTCCACCCCCATCCATCCTCTCCAAATGGCAACTTTCATGTATGGTCCTGCCCAGGGGAATTTAGGTTCTGCTCCTAGTGCTACAAGAACAAGAACTGTTCCCAGTCAGGTCCCTGCACTTGTCAGTGCTGCAGCCTGGTGGCACAAGGACTCCTCCACCTGCAGTGGGCTGGCAGCTCTGCAACCACGTGCCAGCACACCCCCCCAAAAAGGGATTTGGCTTCTTACAGAGACAATTTGTGACAGATGTACCTTAATCTTATGAAAAGATGAGTGAAATGTTAAAAAAACTATTTCAGAAACAGCATTTCAAACTAAGCCATTTTACGAAAATAATAAATGGCCAGATTGATCTCAGCCTCGGTCTGTATTTCAGGTTACAAACAGATTTTTATAGTCTGCAAGACATAAACATATTTACAAGATTCAGTTAAGTTAAAAAGGTAAGGGTCAGAATTTATTTAAAACAAGGTTGCTATCATAACATCTTAAAATATTTTGCATGACTAGTAGTAAATAAAGTTGTATGTTTGCTTCATGATCTAACATAGTCTAACAGTAGAAACATGCATTAACAAGCAAGGCACAAGTTACATACCCTTTAAATTTTCAGTTATTTTAATGTAAGTTAGCAAAATATAATATTGCCATTTTAGAAGTGTAAAAGACGAAAAGGTAACTTCATAGTGGGATTGGTGGAGGACAGAGTCACTCTAATGGAATGTCTCCCATAGGCAGCACATTTTCTATGAAAGTTTAATCACTGGTTGCTGGAAGAGGATGAGGGTGTGGTTTGCTGAGAACCACAGTGACTGCCAGCCCACAGCCACGGAGTGATGAGGGAATTTCATCCCTGATCCTCAATGCAAACAGCACAGGGTCACCCACAGTGTCTGCACAGGAAGCAGGGGGATTTCCTGACAAGTGTTAAAAGACACATCCTCTTCATGGCAAGCCTAAAATTAACTAGTAACACATTATTGTCTGAGGACAATAATTTTGACTTTTTAAAACCATCCAAAGCCAGGAAGCTATGTCCACTGCTCAGGGTAACTCCTGATGAGTAACTGCATTAAGGCAACTCAAAGCCTCCCATGCCAGAAGGGAAGAGAAGGTTCTCAGTAATGATCCAGAATTGAATACCACCTTATTTATGCTAAGGCAGGAATTCCAGCAAAAGTCCATGCTAAATGTCACACAGCAAGAGCACAATACTCTAAGCAGCACTATGACTTAATAGTAAAAAATCTGAGCTACCAGAAAAATACCTGCAAACAGCAGTTGTGCAAAAGGGAAGGAGAAACTGTATTTTGTTAACAAATAAAAATGTATTTTGCTAATGAGTTTGTGTTTTGGATCTGCACAACTGATGGCACATCAAACACGGTACAGAGTGGTGCTGGGAATCCCATCCCCGCCCCTTTTTTTTTTTTCCATGTTCCCTCCAGTCAGGCAGAGCAGCCACCTGTACATTTAAGTAAGTGGACAGTGGGCAGCACACAAGCCTTTATCCTTCCGTGCTGAAGATTCCATGAGCTGGACTCCCTTCTTCGCTGTGTTCTTATCCCAAAGATCTGGAGTCTGCAGGATCTTCATGACCAGTTCCTCAAAGGCATGTTGCACTCCATCCTGTGTCTTGGCACTGGTCTCTGGAGGAAGGGGGAAAAAATTATTTTCTCTTATTTGCAGGGAGTATATTCCACTTAGTAAAGAATTTATTTTGGGAGCAGAGAGAAGATGGGAGTTTTTAAATGAGTGAACCTCCTCTTCATTCTCTCTTAAAGGTTAAAAAAACACTTAACTCATCCCAGTCTGAAGAATCACATTTTTCCACTTAGAAAGAAATCTATGGTTCCCTATTTTCTCCATAATGGAGAAAAAGAAATTATTCTCAGGTTTTGACAGTAAATCTAGAAGATAATTATTCCATAACAAAGCTGAGAAATAAAGAATACAGAGGGAATTGCATGTTGTCCCTTATGTACTTCGGTTTCTCCTAGAAATCTTTCCAAGAAACTTTCTCTTTAGAAACTCAGTGTGTTCCCCACCTTTGTATCTTCACATTGTACATTTTATTGTTGCTGTAAGAACATTGTCTTTTATGCAACAGAAACCTGGAAATGAAAGATCAGCCAGGGTTCTTGCAGACCCTGGAATTCCAGTAAGAAATTCAGTCTTCAGGGCTCTAAATTAAAATATCCTGCTAGTTTCAAGAGAATATAAAATTCATGCCTGTACAGTATACACAATAAATCTGTTTCAGAGAAAAGTGCTTCCAGTTGTAGTCAGTGCAGAAGCTGAAACCTACATCCTGAATATGAATTACAGCAAAAGGAACCCACATTAATTAGGTATTAAAAAAAAAAAAAGGTAGCAACCCATCAACCTGAAATACAATTGTACATTCATGCTTGGCAATACCAAAATAAAGATTTGAATACAGAAGTTTTAGCCCCAGAGGTGCATACCTATAAAAAGCAGTGAGTGTTTTCTAGCAAGCTGGAGCCCTTCTTTTCTCTCTACTTCACGGTCAGGCTGCAGAGACAAATGAAGGATAAGCTACATTTGCCACTTTAAAAAAGTACCCAGAAAAGCAGCAGTGCAGAAATGAGGTTTTGCTGAAAGGAAAAAAATGTGTAAAAATGTAAGAAATGTGTCATCAACTGGATTTTCCCACTCTATAGCTCACTGCCAGGCTGGCTGTCAGGGGGTTAAACTGAACAGCAGCAACATCTAAGCACAGAATCACAGAATGTCCTGAGCTGGAAGGGACCCACCAGGATCAGCAAAGTCCAGCACAACCCCAAGAACCACAGCCTGTGCCAAATCAGCAGGAAATAAATGTGTTGCTGTGCTCTCAATCAACCAGAAGATCCACACCAGAAAGGCCTATGAAAGGTTCTGAAACTGGGCACACTGGGAAGGGGCAGAGCAGAACCCAGCCCAGGAGAGCCACACTGAAAGCAAGAGCAAAGCACCTCACTATGGAACAGGCACCTAAACGTGCCAGAACAGCCCAGGAACAACAAGCAGCACCTCACAGCCACAGGGATGCACACTCTACATCCACCCAGAGCTGAGCTCCTCTTCCCCACCACTGTCAGTCTGCTCAGAAAGCAAGCAGCAGCCGTGCTGCAGTTAGGTTCAGTGTCAGACAGGTTTTGGGCAGAGCCTTGAACCATCTTAAAGGAATATCATCAACTGCATCTCTCTAGGAAAGCTTCTATTAAAATCTTTAACAATATCTGCTTCTAAACTGATAGAAGTGGAGCCTTCCCAGCTCAGCAGCTGAGTAAATTACCTCCTGGCACAAGAGCTGTGTTACAGCACTTACCTCACATTTACACACTGGGATGAATAAATAATTCAGGGAAGAATGCAAAAGGATGCATTCCCAAACTGACCTTATCGGTTTTATTGCCAACCAACATTTTCACAGTGCTGCTGTTGGTGGTGTACATTTCCAGCTCACTCAGCCAGCTTCCTAGTCCTGTGAAAGTGTCTTTTCTTGTAACATCATACACTGAGAACAGAGGAAAAGGAGCTTAACAGCTGTAGAGTCTTGGACAGCGTTTCCTTCATTGTGGCAGAACTTAGTCCACGCTTCCTAACTACTGCCTGGAAAAAATAAAAGGTACTAGGGAGCTACAGAAACAGGCACCAACCATACACTGCTCCCAGAGCTGGAACACACTGGGCTGTGCTCACCCAAATCACTCCAGGATTACAGAACACAAGAACCTCTGCGAGTTAAAATCAGATTTACCAACAGAAACATTCTACCTGTTGGTAGTGCTGAGTTGGGCCACACAGAGTATTTTTAAAAGTGTTTTAAAATGTATTTTGTCACCTAATTTTCTGTATAAGTACATGCACACATTGCTGCTAAAAGCATGGACTGAGTTAAAAGCTACTTTTGGGTGCTGGTAACTTAATAACTGCATTTATATGAATCACTAAGGTTTAAAAATCATAGAAAGAATATTTTGTACAGCAAAGTTAAGGTTAGCCTTCTCAAACCCTGAAAGGAAGAATCCCTTTGTTTTCCAATTGCTGTTGTCACACAGAAAGGGCCTAGCCAGGCTCTGTGTACAAACTTCAGTCTTACTATAATCACAATAATCACATCAATAGTTTCTGGGAACAAAAGAAGTAAAAACATCACGAGGAAAAGAACACAACACAACCCATGATTAGCCTTATTACCAGAAAACCACCCAAGTAATAACTACAAAGCTTATAATTCATCCACTCAACAGCTTGCAGCATGACATCTCTTTTTAATTTAAAATATTTTGAAGCAGTGTATTTCCTGCCAGTGGTTTTGTACATTCAGTGTTTGAGCTAATAAGCAGTAATGTTATAAAAACCATAATTATTCCTCTGATTATTTTCAATAACCTCCTTTTGCATTGATATGCACATTTAGGAGGAATAAAGACCAGAATTTCTGTAATCACGCTTGTCTTCCATTTATTTCATACCTAAAACTACTCCTTGAGCTCCTCGGTAGAAACTGGGAGTCAGTGTTCTGAAACGTTCCTGTCCTGCTGTATCCTACAGAGAGAGGGGGGAAAAACCCCAAACATACAACATCAAATACATTTAAAACAAAAAAAAAAAAGATATTTTAAACTAAACAAGATGAGCAAATTTAAAAATTTTCTGAGCAGTAAGGCTACATGAAACATTAAGATGCAAGAATGAGGAAAGCAGTCAGAAAACAACAGCAGAAAATGGTTAAGCATGGAGAGGACTTGAGTGAAAGTAAAAAGGATAAACAGACACTTGTAACAGAAAAGTAAAAAGGACTTTACAGAAATACATCAAAGGCAAGCAGCCACACAGATGGGTTTAAAACCAGCTGAACTGAATGAGATGGGGAATAACTGATTTTCCAGTGACAGACTCTGCAGGAAGGGAGAGGTT